ACAGCCCCTGTTCTTGTTACCTGTTCTGTTTTTTCTCAAACTATGAAACTGTGCATAGATTAATAATTTTTCAAAGGTATACAGCCTCCCTTTGGTCAAAATTCAAGGTGACTAACAGTGCATGAAGTATATATTATATTAAAACATCACGATGCTACTAGGAAAACAACATTAAAGGAAACATACAGTAATAACAACATCAGGAGACACAGACTGGAGCAGCAAAGTGTTGGATGAAGAGAACAGACTTTTATGTTGGAAACGTCATGGTAAAATTGGATCACATTATCACTGTTGGTGGGAATGCTCGACCATACAACAATTTTGGCAAAACATTCTAAACCAAATAAATAATTTAACAGGATATGAAGTACCATGTAAGCCTGAGGTTATACTTTTAAATCCTTGGGGGGGAATTTCGATTCCACAGATTAGAAAGGATCTTATAACCTTTCTGCAGCCAAAACGACGATAGCTTCTTGTTGGAAAGATGCAGATTCTTCTACAATTGCTGTTTGGTGCGCTAAGATCTGGGACCACCTAATAATGGACAGAGTGGCAGACAATATTTCTAATTTAGATCCTTCATTAGGTCATTCAAACTATATTGAAAGGTGTTGGGTGATAGTGAGATATTGAAAAAAAATGGTATTTAGCAGAGATAAAATGATCCAGCCAGGGCCGGCCTGAGGTTTTTTTGCACCCTAGGGGGGGGCTACCTTCTGGTGCCCCCCGCGCACCCAATTATGTGGTTGCCAACCTCCAGGCAGAGCCTGGAGAGAATGAAGTCCTACTTCTCTCCCCCTTTAGGCGAATGAGGAGGAGGCGGTGAGGTTTCCAGGCACCCAAACCAAAACACCCCACATTTTGATTTACAAAAGCTGACCCCTGGCGGAGGGGGAAGGCGAGGTGGCCTTGCGCTCCCCTTTCACGCCCCCCATGCCACGTAGCTGGGAGCAGCAATAGCACATGGGCTTCTGGCGGGGGGGAGGCACAGTTCGGCACCCCATCCATGGCCCGGCGCTGTAGGCGAATGCCTAGTTCGCCTAGTGGGTGAGCCGGCTCTGGGTCCAGCAGTGCCGGAGTAAAATAATTCAGACTCAGAGTCCATGTGTGATTAAAATATAAAGTTTTTACTAAATTCTAGCATGGGTTGGGATGAAAATAACAACAGAGCAAAATCTGCTACATCCTTACTCTACAAAGACAAAACTAGAAGAGGTGAGATTATGGCTACTCTTCTTCTTCTTCAGAACACCAAACAAAGACGGGTAGAGAGCCATAAAATGCTAATACACCTTGACACTTTAGTCCCAATCAAATTCCTAGATCAGGGAGAAAATTCCCGGGTATTCTACAGCTAAAGAATATTGGTTACATGAAAAACATGTGACTTCCTGTGAGTAACATAAACAAACATTTAGCCCCAGATATACTGAGTGTTTTCAACTTGTAATACCCAACAAAAGGTGGTTCCCAATTTTAGAAAATTTGGAGAACCTCATAGAGAAGATCCGGCCTTCACAACTTTAACAATACTATGAATTTCTGAAGACGGGTTGACTATTTTAAATGTGTTGAAGTTATAACAAGAGTAAAGGATAAAACTTTATATGGAAAACAATATAATACACTGGGATAAGTATTTTGTCTTATGGATAATAGTTATTGACATCTAAGTTTAATAATTTTACATTATATTGGTAGTATAATTGTTATATTTGTTAGGTTTTTGTGTTGCTGTTAACATTATGTCTAAGTAACGCTATTTATGGATGTCCTTTTAGTTACAGCAAAGGTGTTTGTTTTTCTTATTGTTATTGTATTTGAAAAAATTAATAAAATTTATTTAGAGAGAGAGAGAGAGAGAGAGAGAGAACAGACTTTGCCCAGGGCCTAATGAATGACAACAGAGGCACCAGGTAAACTTAGTATGGAAGGAAGTTTCACAGCCAGGCTGCCACCAATGGCCACACCTTCTCTGCTGAGACCAGAGATGGCCATCAATTGAAAATTTCAACTGCCAGGCAGGGTTGCAGAGGAGAGGGCCAGCCCTACAGTTACCCTGGTTACCCCACAGTTACCGTGGAGGTTTTAAAGGTCATCATCACCAGCCCTTTCGATTGAGCCTGGAAATAACTCTGCTCCATTCACTAGACGCTGTCTATGCTTTGTGACTGAAGCAGGGAATTCTGCCAGTTTTCTGAGTCTCTGGTCCTTGGCTTTTTGCTGCAATGGTGTGTGAGTAAGAATATGTGCATCTGAGCCCCCCCTCTCCAAAAGTAGAAATTATTCCCTTGACAGCTATCCATCTGGCACTGTGAAATAAAAAAAAAAAGAGTTGTTAATGGAGATGGAGTGAGGGATATTCCAGCAAACTGGGGAATAACAAAAAGACTCAGAATGAAATATAATAAGATTTTCTGTGCATATGTTGTTATCACAAATCAGTATGGTGGACTAGTATTATCATACTGCCAGTGGTGGAACAGCATGCAGAAGTCTCCTAGTGAGCTTGTAGCTACTGGCAGGGAAGAATAATGGTGTAGCACAGAGACTAGGAGAATGAACTGTAAACTGGATGATACCAGATAATTCTGTCCACCACTGCACTACGTTATAATGCTTCCCTTATATGTGCACATAATTTGCTGGCTACTCTTGTCAAAGCAGGTAGCAAAAAAAAGAGTTGTTAATGGAGATGGAGTGAGGGATATTCCAGCAAACTGGGGAATAACAAAAAGACTCAGAATGAAATATAATAAGATTTTCTGTGCATATGTTGTTATCACAAATCAGTATGGTGGGCTAGTATTATCATACTGCCAGTTGTGGAACAACATGCCGAAGTCTCCTAGTGAGCTTGTAGCTACTGGCAGGGAAGAATAATGGTGTAGCACAGAGGCTAGGAGAATGAACTGTAAACTGGATGATACCAGATAATTCTGTCTACCACTGCACTACACTATAATGCTTCCCTTATACGTGCACATAATTTGCTGGCTGCTCTTGTCAAAGCAGGTAACCTTAGCAGTCACTGAGTACTACAACTCCCCACCTGAAGAGTCAGAATCTTCATCACTGATCCCCAGATGCCATAGAAGTGTGTGCTTCTTGTTTTCGGAAGAGTTCTACAACACAAACAATGAACAATGTTTTTCAAGCTCAGGGACGCAGGAACATGGACACTGCTGTATAGTTTGGTGACCCTCACTATATGTTCGTTTCCTTGGGGGGAAAACCCTAATGTTTGAAATTGCTGACATCATTCATTACTTTTCCAGTAAAATGAAGACCTTAGACAAAAGAGACTTGAGTCAGTTGTTTGTTTTGTGACAAGAAGCCCAAAGTTGCAGGGACAGGAGTGGATTTTTGCTCTCGTCAAGCAGTGCCAGAGAACAGCCTCTTTCCTTAAAAACAAAAACTTAAAACAAAAACTGCTCTTATCTCAAATCAGCACCTTTACTTTTCAGTTCCTTGTGCGTGCTTGAGAGTGCTTTTGGTAGGGAGGGCTGACACTGACCCTTTCCTTAGCAGCCTAAAGGGCACGGTGAAATTCTGATGCCTAAATAAGTAAAAAAGAAGCACTTAAAATTAAAACCAGTGTTCAAAATTCTGGAGTATAGCATCATAGCATGCATAGCCACCCACTTGCCAGCCTGTCCATTTACCATTCATCCAGATGCATAACGGGAGCCATTGTAAACCTCTCTACTGAGAAACAAGTCCCTTTTTATTCAATGGGTTTTACTCCCAGCAAAGTGTTTTTTGTTTGTTTGCTTTAGGATTGCAGCCAGCATGTCGCTAGACATATGCATCCATCTAAAGTCTCTCTCTAGAGTCTAGTGGCATCTCAAAAACTACAAAGTTTTTTTATTCTAGAATAAAATTCCATAGACTAGAGTCCACTTCTAGCCCACAAAAGTTTATGCTAGAACCAAAACTCAGGGCGCCATTAAATGCCAGCCACAAAAGGCTCCCGTTGGTTTCTTGCTGCAAATGACTCCCAAAGCTGCCCCTCCGGAGACTGTCTTTGGATCCCATAGAATGCGATCACTCTTTAAATTAATCTACTGCATTTTGAAAAGGACGCCACTGATCAAGCCTTCCCTTTCCAAGCACACAGTAAAAATATTTTATGATGAAAAAAAAGGAGGAAAGATCAGAGGGGTGAAGAGAGAATTCATACAACATCCCCCAGTTTGCAGCATTTCAAACCCTAGGAACCAATATAACCAATAGCGTATAGTGGAGAACGATTGGCCCATTCCGAAAATTGTGTGGATTATGAATGGTCATCCCTTAATGTTGATTCTGAAGAAAGAGAAGGACAGAAGGAGAATAAATTAAAAAAAACAGTTCCTAGTAGAGCCTAAAACGTGGGGCGTTTGTGGGCAAGGCATCCCACGGCCGGTGGCAAAGTCACTGAATGCATGTGTTACTTGAGACACTTCCAAGGGCTTTGGCGCGGCCACGACCGCTCCGAGGAGACCCGTTCCCTAACCGGGGAGGGGCAGACCCTCCAGAGATCGACCGGCCCCCCTTGCCCGGCCCGGGAGCCCCACGAGGACTTTGCAATTTGCCAGAAAAAGCCCCAGATTTGGGAGTCCGAGACGCGCCGCGCTGGCAGCGGCCGCCTTTCTGCCTCCGGGGCGCCCCCGCCCGGCCCCCGCCAAGCCGCCCCCGGCGCCACTGAGCGAGGCGAGATCCTCGGCGCCCGTTTCCCCCGGGAGCGGCGGTGGCGGGCGGCGGGGCGGCGGAGCTGGGGGCGATTTTGTCCCGGTCAAGAAACACAAAGTTGCCGGCAGAGCAGCCATGTCTGGCGCGGGGAGAGCCGGGCCCGCAGCGCACCAATCAGGGCGCTGCTCCGCCCCTATAAATAGCAGGCGGCCGCCGCGCTCCGGCTCAGACTTTACTTCCCGGCTCCCGGCGGCGATTCTCGGAGAGGCCCTCGAAGCGCAGCTCGACAGACAGACAGACCCGCAGCAGCAGCAGCAGCCATGTCGGAGACGGCCCCCGAAGCGCCCGCGCCCGCCGCCCCGGCCGCCAAGGCGCCGGCCAAGAAGGCCAAGAAGGCGGGGGGCGCCCCCAAGCCGCGCAAGGCCTCGGGCCCCAGCGTCACCGAGCTGCTGACCAAGGCGGTGGCCGCCTCCAAGGAGCGCAACGGGGTGTCCCTGGCCGCCCTCAAGAAGGCGCTGGCGGCCGCCGGCTACGACGTGGAGAAGAACAACAGCCGCATCAAGCTGGGCCTCAAGAGCCTGGTCGGCAAAGGCACGCTCGTCCAGACCAAGGGCACCGGCGCCTCCGGCTCCTTCAAGCTCAACAAGAAGCAGGCCGAGGGCGCCAAGGACAACAAGGGCGCCAAGAAGAAGGCGGCCTCCGCCGGCGGCGTCAAGAGCAAGAAGCCGGCCGCCAAGAAGCCCGCCAGCGCCGCCAAGAAAGCGGCCAAGAAGCCGGCCGCCTCCGCCAAGAAGAGCCCCAAGAAGGCCGCCAAGAAGGCGGCGCCCGCCAAGAAGGCCGCCAAGAGCCCGGCCAGGAAGGCCAAGCCCAAGAAGGCCGCCAAGAGCCCGGCCAAGCCCAAGACGCCCGTCAAGGCGAAGGCCAAAGCCAAGCCCAAGACGCCCAAGGCCAAGGTGGCCAAGCCCAAGAAGGCGGCGCCCAAAAGGAAGTGAAGAGCTTCTCGCTGGGCTCTGCGGGCGCAACACGCCAGGCTTCGTTTTTAATCCCAAAGGCTCTTTTCAGAGCCACCCACAGTTTCCCCAAAAGAGCTGAGTCCCTCTCATGGTTTAATGTCTTTCCTAATATGCCAATTTATTCTAGGTGGCAATTAAAAAACCGCGGCTCTCCCCGACCCCCCAAATCCCTCCCTCTTCCGAGGAATGCTTTTATTATCTACCTCTGGTGCTGTTTAATGCGTTTTGTACGCTTTGGAGGCAGACAATGCTACGTTCTCCCAAAGATGTTTTGTGCAACGACATGACCAGACGAAGATTGGCTCAGGGCCCTTTACAATCTTCCTTGCCTGAGACGCTGCATGTTTTTGGTGACTTCCCTTCCCCAACCGTAATGCCCCCATCTCGGAAGTTAAGCAGGGTCGGCCCTGGTTAGTACTTGGGATAGATCAGCGAGGAAGCTCAGGATTACTACGCAGAGGCAGGCAATGGCAGACCAGAGCCTTCCCTTGAGAGCCGTACAGGGTTGCCAAAAACTGGCTGAGAGTTGACAGCATTTTCCACCACATGCTATTTAACTACCCTTGAAGTACGCACTCACGATCCAGGGGTAACATTGGACGCTTAATACGTTAGAAGTTACTTTCAGCAAAACAAAACTGTACCGTACTCGTATTTTTATTTGGGTTTCTTTCCTTATAGTGGTTACTTTTACACACCGCCACCTAACTAGCACAGGCACTTAAGGCGAAAGGTTTATTTCACATTATCTGGGAATATCCGAAATGAGTCGACAGCAGCTACCTACTTGTTAATAGATCACGCCCAATCCACCCAGAGTAAACGTCGATCTGAAGAGTAGCAAAATCGAGCTCTTTGAAAAGTGAAAAAGTGGTGGCTCTTAAAAGAGCCTTTGGGTCGTTAAGATTTTCGTGGGGTTTTCTTTTTAAGCTCTCTCTCCCCGGATACGCCGGGCCAGCTGGATGTCCTTGGGCATGATGGTGACTCGCTTGGCATGGATGGCGCAGAGATTGGTGTCTTCAAAGAGCCCAACCAAGTAAGCTTCGCTGGCTTCCTGCAAAGCCATGACTGCAGAGCTCTGGAAGCGCAGGTCGGTCTTGAAATCCTGAGCGATTTCACGCACCAAACGCTGGAAAGGCAGTTTGCGGATCAGGAGCTCAGTAGACTTCTGATAGCGCCGAATCTCTCGCAAGGCTACAGTGCCGGGGCGGTAGCGATGAGGTTTCTTCACGCCGCCAGTTGCCGGGGCGCTTTTGCGCGCGGCTTTGGTAGCCAGCTGCTTGCGGGGCGCTTTCCCACCAGTGGATTTACGAGCGGTCTGCTTCGTTCTTGCCATTTCCCAAGTAAGCCAGGAGCAGCCTCCGAAACGTTCCTCCTATTAATCTCGGCAAAACAGTGAATCGCAGAGTTGCTCTGCTGGCCCTTTATAGCTACCTTCTCCTCGTCCCATTGGCTGAGAGTAGCGATGCGACCGTTTACAATATTTGAATGTCCCGGGCTCTTCATTGATTGGGCCGATGATGCAACGCCTTCCTGATTGGTTCCACGTTTCTCTTCCCCGCCCCACAGTCTTTGTTCTCCCTCTTTTTGAAAAGGATTCCATTCCCACCTTGACTCCTCCCACACCTCCCCCCCCCCTTTGAAAAAAAAGTAAGACCGACAAAAGTTTTGTTCTGCCTATAAGCTTCTTCAGATGAATGCTTATACCCAGAAATAAAACTTTGCTGGTCTTAAAAGGTGCCGCCTGGACTCAAACTTTGTTCTACTACTTCAGACCAACCGGGCTGCCCATATGGATCTATGATCTCCTTTGGTTATTTAAGAAGGCATTATAGGACTCGGGGAAGACAGCTCTTCCTTTGCATATGCTTATGCAGAAGTAAGTCCTGCGGGGCTCAGGTAGGACTTACTCCCTTTCAGCGCGCACAGAATCGTAGCCCTAAAAACATAATTTCACTGCTCCTTGTTACCACCCCCCATTGCTTGCAATCCTGCGCAGCTGCAGTGACTAGAGGGTCCCTGTGCCTTTCCTGTTGGATCATTCTAGGGCACGAGGAATTCCAGCATGTGCGGCTTCTCGTGCTCTTTGATGGGAAAAAAAGCCTTGCCATTACCACCACGTTCAACATGCGATGCGATTAAAGGAGAGAGAATTGGGGCGGTCTCTCCCCCTCCCCCCCCCCCCATTTTGATCAAGCATTCCGACTCCAAGATATGCCCCAGAGAAGCCCACAAGCAAGACGAAGCGATGCCTTCCAGGGGGGACAGCATCCTAAAAAAAACTAAAATAACCGAGAGTACTGTAGCCCTTTAAAGATGTGATGTTTCATTGTGGCAAAAGTTTTAACTGTTCAGTTCACTTCCGGCGCTGGAAGCATTAACATTTAGTTGCAATGTACTGCATCCTGTCTGTGGGTGGGTGGTAGAAACCTTAGAGAGCTTGAGAACTGAACAGAAAATAATCCTCTGCCATAATAGATGTGTTAGTCTTTAAGATACCACAGGATCACTTAGAGGTTTTTTTAAAAAGAGAACTCTCATCCTCGGTTCCTTTTGTCCCTTTGTCACAAGTGGGAATTAAGATTGCTGGGGAAAAGATCAACAACCTCAGATATGCAGACGATACCACTCTAATGGCAGAAAGTGAAGGGGACCTAAAGAGCCTCTTGCTCTGGGTAAAAGAGGAGAGCGCAAAAGTGGGCTTGAAGCTCAACATCAAAAAAACTAAGATCATGGCATCCGGCCCCATCACTCCTTGGCAAATAGAAGGGGAAATAGTGACAGACTTCACGTTCCTGGGATCCCAGATCTCCGCAGACTGTGACAGCAGCCATGAAATTAAAAGACGCCTGCTCCTTGGGAGGAAAGCAATGGCGAACCTAAACAGCATGATAAAAAGTAAAGACATCACCCTGCCAACAAAAGTCCGCATGGTCAAAGCAATGGTATTCCCAGTAGTCATGTATGGCTGCGAGAGCTGGACTATAAGGAAGGCCGAGCGCCGAAGAATAGATTCTTTTGAACTATGGTGCTGGAGGAGACTCTTGAGAGTCCCTTGGACTGCAAGAAGAACAAATCAGTCAATCCTCAAAGAAATCAACCCTGACTGTTCCCTGGAAGGCCAGATAATGAAACTGAAGCTCAAATACTTTGGCCACCAAAGGAGAAGTGAGCACTCACTGGAGAAGACCCTGATGCTGGGAAAGATTGAAGGTCAAAGAAGACGGGGACGGCAAAGGATGAGATGGTTAGACAGTGTCATCGATGCAACGAACATGAAAGTGAGCAAACATCAGAGGACGGCGGAAGACAGGAAGGCCTGGCGTGATCTGGTCCATGGGGTTGCGAAGAGTCAGACAGTGCGACTGAACAACAACTTCACTACCCAACGGAGTCTCAGAGCAGCTTACAAACTCCTTTCCCTTCCCGGCAACAGACACCCTGTGAGGTAGGTGGGGCTGAGAGAGCTCTGACAGAAACTGCTCTTTTTCAAGAACAGCTGTGCCAGAATTATGGCTTGCCCAAGGTCATCCAGCAGGTACAAGTGGAAGTGTGGGGAATCAAACTCGGTTCCCTCCCATATTAGAGTCCATGCACTTAACCATTACACCAAATTGGACGTTACACTTTTAGATTATCCTGGCCATACTCAAATACAGGATGCAGATGCTTCCACAGGGAAGTTTGCTCTCTGCTTCAACTAACACACCACATGGGTTTGTTTTGGGGAGGAGGCATCTGCACAATGCCATAAGCGTTGCTGGCAGCATTTTGCAGGGACCCAAGTTCTTTCGCATTTCACCAAGCCCCATGTCACCTCCAGCATGAAACCAGAAATGATGTCATCCCCCCAGTATGATGTCACTCCAGGTTTCCCACCAGAAGTGATGTAGCAGATTAGCATGATGCTTAACTGCCCCCCTATTTCCACCCTGTCAAGCTTGTCCAATGGGAGGGGGGAGGTCAGGAGGTCTTCTGCTATGGCAGGTAAACTTGGCTCCCTTGGATGTCCTGGTCTAGTGGGAGCAGGCATCTTTTTCTCCTTTCCCAGTTTACTCCCCCCCCCACCCTACTTTTCTCTGATCTTTTTGTTTGTTTTTGGTGAGAGAGAGCACCCTTCAAGCCTGTTCTCAGGCGGCCTGGATGGGTAGGGGTGCTGAATATCCAAAGTCCCAACAGCATCAGTGCTGTTTTTCTTCCTTCAGTCCTTTTTGGCTGTCATTTTCCCCACCACACCACTGGAGAACTATTGCCATACTTTTTTTGAGGGGGAGGGAATCAGTAATTGTTATAACATAATAATGCTATAACGATCAATCAATATATTGCCACCATCTAGGTGTTCCTCTGAATTCCCAGCTTTCCTCTTACATGTCTGCAGGCTGTGGTGGCTCAGAGGTTAAGACGCAGAGTTGCAGATCAGAAGGTTGGTAGCTCGGCAGTTCGAGACCAGAGTGCCGCATGACAGAGTGAGCTCCCCTCTCTGGTCCCAGTTCCTGCCAATTTAGCAGTTCAAAAGCAAGAAATTGCAAGTAAATAAATAGGTACTTGGAACTGCAGCTCAAGTGGTTAAGACGCTGAACTGCAGGCTGTGGAAGGTCGGTAGTTCAGCAGTTCGAGACCCAGGTGCCGCATGACGGAGTGAGCTCCCGTCTCTAGTTCCAGCTCCCGCCAACCTAGCAGTTCGAAAGCAAAAAAATGCAAGTAGATAAATAGGTACCACTTTGGTGGGAAGGTAACAGCGTTCCGTGCGCCTTGGTGTTTAGTCATGCCGGCCACATGACCACGGAAACGTCTTCGGACAGCGCTGGCTCTTCGGCTTTGAAACGGAGATGAGCACTGCACCCCTAGAGTCGGACTCGACTGGCTTTCGAGCAAGGGAATCTTTACCTTTAAATAGGTACTGCTTCGGTGGGAAGGCGTTCCGTGTGCCTCAACATTTAGTCATGCCAGCCACATGACCACGGAAATGTCTTCGGACAGCGCTGGCTCTTCGGCTTGGAAATGGAGATAAACACCGCCCCCTAGACTCGGATTTGACTAGCTTTCGAGCAAAGGAAACCTTTACCTTATACGTCTGCAGTGTACGGTGTTAGAGACTTCCCTTCTGGGAAGAAGAGGGCAATTGTGTCCCCTTCTCTTTCTCTGCACTGCACCTTTCCAGTCAGACTATACTGTCTTGGCAACCCCAGGAATGAGCTTTCCCTAAGGCCATGAAGGACTAATGGGGGGTGCAGAAAACACGTGTCATCCTTGCACCTGCAGACTGTGAGATCCAGCCTCCTGGGCCACTTCTTTCCACACGAATGAGGTCAGTCCAGGGGGGCTCCTTCCAGCTGTAGCGAACACCTGAAAGAGGGCTTGGGGGGGGCTCTTGCCCCCTTTGTACCTCCCTCCCTCAGGAGCTGCTGATGAAGGGCTTAGCAAAATTCTTCCAGACGTTTTGAAAGTCCACGTTTTCCAGAAGGCTTCTGTGTTAGACCCACAGTGTGCATCAGTGTGCTTTTTTGGCTTGGCCCCGGCCTGGTGGAACATGCTTCCGACTGAGCTCAGGGTTCGAGTTTTGCAGGGCCTGCAAAATGGAGCTGTTCCGCCAGACCTTTGGTTGAGGCAGCGGGCGTCTGCCAGCTGGCCTCCCTGTTGCTGTTGCGATACTACTATTAACGAGAGCTTTATGGCTCTGCTTCGGCCCATTAATTCCTGGAACGGCCCACTTTAACTGTTTTTTTCCTATTAATTTAATGTTTGATGTCTATTTATTGAATCATTTTGAGATCGTATTGGAATTTATTGTTGTGACCTGCCCTGAGCCCGCTTGTGGGAAGGGGTGGGATATAAATTGAAAAAATAAATAGCACGAGCAGAATACTAGTTGTTATTGACTTTATATTAATGATGTAGTGCTTTCAATCGAAACTTTTACATTTTTTAAATAGCCATCTTAACTTTTACTTGGAGGCTTGTACATAAATGAACTGGATTTGGGAAATGAGTTTTTATAGCTAGTCTACTGAAGTTAAACACCCCCCAGATGCTTTTAAAATTTTCCAGGTTGTAAAAAAGAACTACAGTGGAAAATTAGGGTTACAAATTTTAAATTCGTAAGGTGACCATAAAAACCCAAAGTATTTTACCATTAAATCCCTCTCCCAATTATTCAATCTTCAAGAAAATCTAACAGAGTTGCACGTTTTTGAAAAATTAACTACGAACCATTGGCTTTCAAGATCTATGCATTACTAATCCCCGCCCCCCAATGAAGCAGATCAGCATGGCCCCTGCTTTATTTGGCATAGAATCCTTTAACTGCAAGATACTTTCACAATAAAAAGAAAACAGCTCCTTCCACGTACAAGTAGGTGGCCCTGAAAAGGACCTTTGAGTTTTTAGGTGTGAATTCAAGACCGTAGCTCTTCAGCCTCCAAAGCCATACAGGGTGCGACCCTGCCGCTTCAGAGCATAGACGACATCCATAGCAGTCACAGTCTTCCTCTTAGCGTGCTCGGTGTATGTCACAGCATCTCTGATAACATTCTCCAAGAAGACCTTCAACACACCGCGCGTTTCTTCATAGATCAGTCCCGAAATACGCTTCACTCCCCCACGACGAGCCAGACGGCGGATAGCCGGTTTAGTAATACCCTGAATGTTATCTCGAAGGACTTTTCGGTGTCTCTTAGCTCCCCCTTTCCCCAAACCTTTACCACCTTTCCCACGACCAGACATCTTCACCAGCGAACCAAAGACTCTCTACACATAAACCTAAACGAGACAAAAGGCTCAGCAGAAGCCAGGCATTTATATAGTGCTACGTCCGACCAGAGTGGAAACTGCAAAGGGAAAAAGAGGCGGTCACGTTTCTATCCTCGCGGGAGGTCTAACCAATGAATGATCAGGAATGCAATTTAAATTAACCAATAAGAAATCAGTATAATATCGTCAAATAACCCACCAAGCTTGAGTCGCGATTTGTTTTATATATATTAATAATACACTAATAAATCGAGAGGCCGTTATATATTTGGGGATGACTTGAACGTGAGCAATAACAAAACAACGTGCCTAATAAGGCTTACTGCTTATTGGGCAAAGGATTACATCCTATGCTTGATTACTCAGAAGGAAGATTCCAGGCGGGCAGCCCAGTTCGTCTGTGGCACAGAAACGCACATTTTAGGGACTAGCCATTTATTCCATCATGACTTTTCGTGAATCAGAGCTTACTTCTACAGATGCGTATGATTTTTGAGAGCTCATTTTGGAATGCATTTGGTGTCACTAGACTCCTGTTTTATTTCACACAACAGGAAATCAGTTTGAATGCCTACTGAATGCAGTGCAGGGTAGTGCTATCCACGTTTACCCCAAAGCAAATTAATTCCAACAGGACTTTTCGTCCGGTTAGAGTGCATAGAACTGCAGCCTACTAACTTCTTTAACATTTGGAAACCGCAGCCTTAAAATTCTAAGGTAGAGAGTTTCCCTGCTCCGTCCAAGGAATGGCTGCTGCGATTTTGGTACATCTGCCTCAGTCAGTCTCATCCCTGAGTATCTTTTCCGGAGTGAGCCCTATCAAAACTTGCTTTAAAAAAAAAATAGGGATAGTTTTAAAATTAGTATTACAGCGACCCAGAGGAGCTATCCCAGAAGACAGATGTGTCTTTCATACAATCTGAGGACATCGCTACACAACTGATACGTAACAGTTCTTCAGGGGAAAAGTTATCCGGAAATATCTGAAATCTACATATCGTTGCAACTAACCATGTCAATTTTCTTGTTCTCCAGAACCAATGAATCTGAAACAAACTATTTTACGTTGCGAGAGCTTGGTTATTTAAAGCGGTATAAATATTTTTTGCCATCTTCTGGGCATGGAGCAGGGGTCTGTGGGGGTGGAGGAGGGGAGGTATTTGTGAATTTCCTGCATCGTGCAGGGGTTGGACTAGATGACCCTGGCGGCCCCTTCCAACGCTACGATTCTTTGATTCTACAAAAGAAAGGAAAGGGTTAGAAGATTGGAGTCGTCTGATTAGTCTAGCTGTAGTGACGTAACAAGCACCGAAAATTTAAACTTCCCACGCTGCATAGCAATTGGGCAGACACTAGAAGACATCTTTTCCTTTCTATACAGCTTCTGCTTTCTTTGTTCACGGTGCAAACCTTTTCTCTCCCCCCTCCACCGTTCTATAGTGAACCCAGCTTCGAATAAAGCTTGAAAACGGGGGAGGGGAGGGACGGTAAAAACAACACGAGGTTGCAGAAAAATTAAATGTTTAGCATCAAAGCGGGGGGGGGAAATCATTAATTACTTGGGAAAATAGTAAACTGTTTCCACTCCGCTATGTGCTCTTTGCAGAAGCCAAACAGGCGTAAAACACAAAAATCCGCTTTTTAAAAAAAGGTTATGAGCAATAAGTTACATATACGGTCCAAAACTTTGAACCGGTCTGATACATTATAAAGTAGCAGCTGAAGTTGCTACTGATACAATTATGTAGCTACTTCCTATGCTATTAGAACAACCAAAAGCTGCGGCGTGCACACACACAAGTCCTTCCCTTGTCTTATACTTTTAGCAGGTTAGGAGTACAATCAGCTCCTTTTTAGAAAACGTGGGTGGCTCTGAAAAGAGCCTTTGTGTTTGCGTGAGAAGCAGCTGCGGAGGAAATTAACCACCGAACCCATACAGAGTGCGGCCTTGGCGTTTCAGAGCATAGACAACATCCATGGCGGTCACGGTCTTCCTCTTGGCGTGCTCGGTGTAGGTGACAGCATCCCGGATCACATTCTCCAGGAACACTTTCAGCACCCCCCGAGTCTCTTCGTAGATCAAGCCGGAAATACGCTTCACGCCTCCACGACGAGCCAAGCGCCGGATAGCAGGCTTAGTAATGCCCTGAATGTTATCCCGAAGGACCTTCCGGTGCCTTTTAGCACCCCCCTTCCCAAGCCCTTTGCCGCCTTTTCCACGACCAGACATGACAACAACCGTACCTTACTCTACTATCCCGCGAAAAAGAAGAGCAACGCTTAAGTAGAGCTTCACGCCCGGCTTTTATAGCACAGAGTCGAACCTGAGTGAAAACAGGAAAGGGGCAGTCACTAATTTCCGCCCCGCCCCTTTGCATCAGCTTCTCCTCTTTAACCAATCAACCGCCGGAAACTTATTTCTGTCCTGTCTCCTCCCTTCTTTACAAAATCTCAATCACGGATATTTTCTTGTAGGCGCGAAAGTAATGCAGTTTCTGTCAAAGAATCTGTCTTTTTAGTGGGAGGACAATTATGCTTTAGTGACATACAGTATCTACTCTAAAAGTTGTATCTGGATTGTCTTAGCATTTCTAAAAGGGTTTTATGAAGGAGCGACACACACACACATCAAACTATAAATTCAGCTACAACCGTAACACGGAAGTTTACAATCCACTGGGGTGGGGGAAGCGATTTATTCAGTGTCTCCGGCATACCATACTTTCGTCTCTTAAACCCGCCTCCCCTTATTAACAGCCAGTCATTAGTTCAAAATCCTAGTTTTAACATAGTAGCTGAAGTTCAGAGTAAGAGAAATTACTCTAACGAAGGGAGCTTTGATTCTAGAAAGTCTATATTCAGGCTCCGAGAATCTATTTGATCTTTAAGATGCTTCTCGGCCACCCACCTGAAATTTAAAATAACGTGCTATCATATAAATGAAATCCTAGTGCTTCTTTTGTTATTTATCAATAGTCTGCCGTGATTTCACACTTTCCCAGTTAAGTTTGCATGAGACACGTAGAAGTTTCTCTCTTACATTATGAAAGCTCTTTTCCACTAGCACTGTTGGTAACAGACTTTGCAATCTCAGTTCTACTAATAATTCTTTTCATGACGTTCCTACAAGATGAACTGTGAATATGAAGCAACTGCTTTCCTTTGTCAGTTGCAAACTTTTGTTGTTGTTCAGTCGCACAGTCGAGTCGGACTCTTCGCGACCCCATGGACAAAAGGGGATGAATGCCGCCCTGAGACTATAGTTTCATTGGTCGGAAGTCAGCATGAGCCGTTGGCGATTGGAGGCGGAGACAGGGGCTCTCCAATCGTTGTAGAGCTCGGGAAATTTTAAAAATGGATTTATAGTTCCTCTTTCAACCAATCAGGGGAAGCGGAGCGGGATATAAATGACCTTCTGCGCGCTTTGTGTCATTTCTTCTGTAGTCTAAGAGAGGTTCGGCGGTTTTAGTGGGTCTAGCGTGAAAATGGCTCGGACAAAGCAGACAGCTCGCAAGTCTACCGGTGGAAAAGCGCCCCGAAAGCAGCTGGCGACTAAAGCTGCGCGCAAGAGCGCTCCAGCCACGGGGGGAGTGAAAAAGCCACACCGCTACCGCCCGGGCACAGTGGCTCTGCGAGAAATCCGCCGTTACCAGAAGTCTACGGAGCTGCTGATCCGCAAGCTGCCTTTCCAGCGCTTGGTGCGCGAGATCGCCCAGGATTTCAAGACCGACCTGCGTTTCCAAAGCTCGGCCGTCATGGCCTTGCAGGAGGCGAGCGAGGCTTACTTGGTCGGCCTCTTTGAGGATACTAACCTCTGCGCCATCCACGCCAAGCGGGTCACCATCATGCCCAAGGATATCCAGCTAGCCAGGCGCATCCGCGGAGAGAGAGCTTAAACCGCTCCTCTCGCCTCTCTTCACAGACCTTTAACGTTCACTCCATAACCCAAAGGCTCTTTTAAGAGCCACTATATTTTCGCTCGAAAGTGCTGGGACACATCGTATTTTCCTTTCCTGTACCGCTTAATGTACAGACTACTTCGGTTCTATTGCTTGCTGCGAACTTTTCGGTTACGGCTTTTGAACGTGGACCTACTGTGATTCCATAAAGGGTGTTGGGAGAGTTTGAGGGTTCTGTTTCTGCCTTCCCTCGGCTACCCGCACCAAAGGGTTCACCTGAATGCGAAATATTTTTTTAAAAAACCTTTAAATGTCTCTTCCCCCTATTCTAAACAAGCGGATTACACTTTGCATTGTACCTTTGCATCCCGCTTCCCTTCTTTGCAATAACCCCCTCCCTCCCTCCCTCACATTCTGCCTGGGATAGAAGCGCTCTAGGGATGTCCATTCCTGATTAAACGTGTCTTTGACTCTCGAAAGCCCTGGACTGAGGTGGGGTGGCCGGTGAAGCAGCAGAACAAAGTTGGGATCCGGCAGCACCTTTAAAACCAATAAAGTTTTATTCGAAAGTCTTGGAAATCGTTTTGGTTTTTAAGGTGCTACTGAAATCGGAGCTCAGAACAATACGGCTGGCCCAGCTGAAACTGCACACTGACAAGGGCGCGTTAGGGGGGGGGAGTAACAGAAATATTTAAGAGGGACAACTCTTTTGCCCTGACGTGAACAGCCCACGCTAGCTTGATGTTGGAAACTAAGCAGGGTCGTGATGCGGATGCACTCAGCTGTGTGTAGGGCACCTTCCACCACCACACAGCTCTTTCGAGGAGATTGTGGGTGACTCTGAAAAGAGCCTTTGGATACCTGTCTGGCGAGTCCCCCCCCCAAGAGAAAAGGGCTTCTTTTGGGGCACCCGGCCGCTCTTGCTGTATCATTATGATGCCAAACACGTTTAATTGTAGGGGGGGGGTAGGGGACAGGGCGTTTCCTGGAAAGAGGGAAGGATTTCGGGGTGGGGGATCGGAGAGCCGGTGTCGGTTAAATCACAGCGCAGGAGAGTTGCCCCTAAATAACTCTTGATCTGCGCAGTAGAAAGCACATGGGGGGCCGACAATCAAGCCGTGAGAGGGACTCAGCTCTTTTGGGGAAACTGTGGGTGGCTCTGAAAAGAGCCTTTGGGATTAAAAACGAAGCCTGGCGTGTTGCGCCCGCAGAGCCCAGCGAGAAGCTCTTCACTTCCTTTTGGGCGCCGCCTTCTTGGGCTTGGCCACCTTGGCCTTGGGCGTCTTGGGCTTGGCTTTGGCCTTCGCCTTGACGGGCGTCTTGGGCTTGGCCGGGCTCTTGGCGGCCTTCTTGGGCTTGGCCTTATTCTTCCAGCCAATGTCCCTGTGTGCATTTGTACATTTTTTGCAGTCATCTCACTCTATAGTGTGTATAACTTCATCATGATAAGGCACAGTTACCCTCCACTTTTGCCAGGGACCTTCTATACACAAAGAAGTTGACCGATAAACCCTAATCCTTTGTTGTTGTTCAGTCGCACAGTCAAGTCCGACTCTTCACGACCCCATGGACCATATCACGCCAGGCCTTCCGGTCTTCCACCGTCCTCTGAAGTTTAACCTACTCAGAACTAAATTACCCTAATCCTACTCAGAACTAAATTGAGTGACCACAAAATGCTTGTGTTAAAGGCTCTTGTGTGCTGTTAGGCCAACCACATGCCTCTTGGACTCATGTCCCTCATAGCTGGTAAAAGCCGGCAGTGAGAGAATACAGATTCCCCTGGTGGACATTATCAATCTGTCCAAGGAAACAGGTTGAAAGAGGCTGTGATGGTACCGCTCTTGAAAAAAATATCTGGATCCTACAGACCCTTCCAAACTTTTGAATTTGTCATTTCTGGGAAAGGTAATTGAGAGAGTGGTAGCTGAACAGCTCCAGAGTTTCCTGTATGACACATCGGCATTAGACCCATTCCAGTCCAGCTATCACCCTGGCCACAGGACGGAGATGGTGCTGGTCAACCTTACAGATGATGTCCTCAGACAGCTGGACCAAGGCAGGTCAGCGCTGCTGTTGTTACTTGATCTCACAGCAGCATTTGACATGGTCGACCATGACTTTTTGTCCCACCATCTCACCAACATGGGAATCTGTGGGGTAGCCAACACATGCATTCAGTGACTTTGCCACCGGCCGTGGGATGCCTTGCCCACAAACGCCCCACGTTTTAGGATCTAGATATTAAAATAAAGCTATTTTTGCTCTCCTCTTGTGCGCTGGTGGGCGGAGATGAGGCTTGTACCTCTGGATTCTTAAGCCCGTGTCCATTTTTTTTTAACGATAGCCCATCAGGACTATGAAGGAATGTGCTTTGAAATGGCTGCCATGATGCTAAGGGCTGCGTGGCTTCCTGGGACAAAGATGGCAGGCGGTTTGGCCGCATCTTCAGCCTGGAGATTCCCCCGCCGTTAATTGCCACCTTTCCTTTTCTGCCTTCTGCTTGATTGGGGGGGGGGTGTTCTGATTTTTGCTGGGAAGGAAACTGATTACCTGCTGGCTTTTATATACTCCAAGGTCCAGTGGCCATTTTATGTTTTCAGTTCCTCTGCTCCAGTAACCTTTCGTGCATCCTGAAATCCCTTTTACACCCAATACCATCGACTCCAATCAAGACTGTAAAAACTGCAGGCTATGAATTCTTCTATTATGCACTGGAACTCACACACACACCTTCCTTCTCCAATTTTGTTGCCCTTCTGTACCCCACCTGAGAATTTCTCAGGCTTGTATTCTGTTTTGTTATATTTTGTGTGTGTGTGTGTGTGTATTTGTTGGCATTTTCCAAGTTGGGAACATTTTATATATATATATATATATATTTACTCTTCTCCACTGACTTTTCTTCCTCTGTATTCTGTGGTTGCAGTCAGAAAAATCCAAGCAGTGAGCACATATCTGAGATCTGATTACTGTGCTAGTAACTGAATGTAAGTGAAGCAGCTTGGCAAATGGCGAACACTGTGATATACACACAGGGCCGGCTCACCCACTAGGCGAACTAGGCCTTCGCCTAGAGCGCGAGCCAGCCGTTAGGGCGCAGGAGAAGAAGCAGGGGCGGCCGCTGACGCCTGGCCAGCAGCTGGGAGGAGCTCTGCCGCCCAGCTGCAACCTGCAGGAGGAGGACGCGCGGAGGTGGCGTGTTCGAGTTCGAGTTGTGTTCGAGTTGTTGAATAAAGCTGAATCTTTGCTGAATCACTCTCCGACTACTTTGTTAAGCGAGCGACTTAACATTTGCCATTACCTGCCTCTGCATAGCGACCCTGGACTTCCTTGGTGGTCTCCCACCCAAATACTAACCAGGGCCAACCGTGCTTCACTTACAAGATCTGAGGTAGTTTGCCATTGCCTGTCTCTGGCCCCGGTCACACGAAAGGTTTTGGGCCGGGAAAGAGATGGATCGACACACACATCCAAGGCCAGGCTTTTAAACAGCGCTGCCTTCCCAGTTCCTCATGTCCTCACAATTTCTTTTGCCATCACAGATTAATGCCAGCCACATCGATCTCCATACCTCTTTGCCAACATGGATCACTGATCTTTGTGATACTAGCTTTACAGCATCCCCACTAAGCAGATGTGGGCAGAAGGTGGATCCTGGTCTACCAATGGATCTCAAGTCAATTTCCAATGGACCTCAAGTCAATTTCTAATGGACCTCAAGTCCATCCAACTGCTGTTTGCTGGGATTCTTTACATAAAATGCTTGACTAGGGCCCCGGTCAAATGGGAGGTTTTGGCCCACAAGAGGGATGGATCGGGGGCTCAGCAAACGGACGCGATCACACCGCAACATCTGGGAAGTGCACCCGTCTCCGATCCGTCCCTTCAGGCCGAAAACACGCATTAAAAAAACCCCTAGGAAATAGTACCACCAACCTGAAACGCCGCAGCAAGCATGGCCGTGGGATCGCTGGTGCGCCTGTCTTCAGGAGCATTCGAGGCTCCTGGCCGAATTGCACATGCGCACACCTCCCTCCGTGGCCCCCCCCCCCCCCCGCATCTGATCATGCCGGGAAGCAACTGCGTGGCGGTTCAGGGGATCTGTCTGATCCCGCCGCTGTGTGTCTCTTTTGGTGCAGCTCTAAAAAGCCGCACTTTGGCCGCATCAATTTTCCCCATGTGACCGGGGCCTCCGTTTACTTGGTTTTGCTCCTGAATTAAGCAGGTTTTATATCTTTTAGCTAATTCAGCTGTTAGCTGTTTAAATTGAATCCTGTGGTCTTTACAAGGAGGTTGTACATTAGGGAGACCAGAGGATTCAATTTAAACAGCTAATAGCTGAGTTAGGAGTAGGAGGAGAGATTGGATTTATACCCTGCACATTACTTGGAGTCTCAGAGCGTCTTTCAATCTCCTTCCATTCCTCTCCCCACAACAGACACTCTATGAGGTAGGTGTGGCTGAGAGAGCTCTTTTGAGGACTGCTCTTGAGAAAACAGCTCTCAGAGAATTTGTGGCTGACCCAAGGTCACCCAGCAGCTGCTAGTGGAAGAGTGGGGAATCAAACCAGGTTCTCTGGATTAGAGTCTGCCACTCTTAACCACTACACCAAACTGGCTTTATAAAATATACTTAGGCCCCGGTCCCACGGGGCGGATATCGCGTCGGGGGAGGCGTGGCTAATTGCCCCAGCGCAATTTGATCTGCAATTACACAATCAGACGTGCCGGTGGCACACCACGGGTCCTTCCCTCAGCACCGGCGGGGAAACAAGGGACCGGAGGGGAATGCCGCGCACCGGCGCGATCACACCACGGGAGTCTGGAGGCAGCCCGTGGCAAACGTTTACTAGTACTTTGGAGGTCCTACTTTTTTAATGCGCATTTTCGGCTGTAAGCCACGGGTATGCTCCACTTCCCAGATGTTGGGGTGTGATCGCGCCCGGATAATCCACCCACCATCCGTGGTACTCCCGCAGCAACTTTGCCATGTGACCGGGGCCACTGTTCAGTTCGTTCACACTCACATAGAACTTGAGAGAGTTGTTGGATTTGGTTTCAAAATCAACCTGCTCATTCCAGAGCAATGATTGGACAGGAGCAATCAGAGAATTCCAGCTGCAACCACAGATCAATTAATTTGAATCTGAATAATTTAGTTTCTTTTTCACTTGGGTTTTGCCGTCTCTGGGATGTTTAGAACCATATTGAAGGTAGAGCAACAGGACTATGACCATCAGAGGCTAGAGATTAAGCCAAGGGGCTCACCAGACAGAGGCTGAAATGTAGGCGTGGAAAACGAAGAGTCCAAAACCCTGAGGAGCTGTTATTCTCTCTCACTGTTAACTGGGCCATCCTGAGGGCAACTCTGCTGAGTCAAAGCAAAGGTCCCTTGCTGTTTTCTACAGTAGCCAACCAAATGATTCTAGGAAGTTCACAAACAGTGCAGAAAAACATGCTCCCTCCACCTTTTTTTGTTCCTGACCTACTGGTGTTCGGAAAAGACTTTTTCTGTATACATGGAGGTTTGATTTGGCCCTCAAGGCTCCTAGCCACTGAAAAATCTATCCTCTACAACCGCCAATCCGTTAATAGATGAATCCTCCAAGCTTTTGTGGGGAAAGACTTTAAAAAATGTATTGGCCTGCTGACTTAACATTAACAAGACAATCAGCTGAACTAGCCTCATTGTTGCTTATAGCAGCAAAGCACCTGATAGCTCAAAACTGAACAAAATTCCAACATTAAAACAATGGGTTTTCTAAAATTTGGGATATTGTTGTTGCTGATAAAATTGCGACTCAGCTGATTGTATCTGAAACACCTACGAAGAATAACGACTTTCTTGAAAAGTGGTTTCCCTTCTTTGAACACGTTTCCTCAAACCCAAAAGATTTGTATAACCTACCTAAAAAATACATGGATTTTGTATTCTACTAATTTGAAGTCTGTCTTGTTTGATTCAATATTAGCCATGATAATAGGTGGGCTATAGTATGGAACTTTGTTCTTATACTTATTGTTTTGTTATTATTTTTATTACTGTTATGACTGTTGTTCTTTTGCTATAAATGAGTTATTGTTCTCTGGTTTGCTTAATAATAAAATAACAAAATGTTAGTTAAAAAAATGTCCTGGCCAGTACTTTGAGGATATGGCAGGAGAGACTTCAATATCAATTTGATATTTCTTCTTTATCTTAGGCAGAGTCAGAGCACAGGATATTTTCCCTGAGCAAACACCTGCTGAGATTTAAAAGACTCCCATATTTATTTACATATTTCCTCGTCCATAATTCTCAGGTTTTCTTTTTATAATGTGGACAATGCTGCAGTTAACATCCATGGAACGTAAGGGTATATAGTATGCTGTAGATTGTTCTCTAATTCTGCAACCCGGATTTATTACACTGTGTGTAATATGTTTCCCTGCATTGTTCTAAGTCTAAGATCTTGCAATCCTTGCTTTCATACTCAAATTATACTCCGTTTTTAGCACTGTGTTTTCTAGTTCGGAGGGTTGTATGTATTCTGCTCTTACGGCTTTGTTTCTTTCAGTTGTCATCTGCCCTGAGTCTCAGCAAGGAAGGTGGACTATAAATGAAGTGGGTAAATCAAACTTTTTACAGAGAATGCACACATGGAATGGCGAGTGTGAGAAGCACAAACTGCTTCAGAAGCAGAGAGCAATCTCAGGGGATGATTCTGTGCAGCTTTGGCTTATTTTTATTACAACTTGTGTAACTTGAAAATCTTTACAGGAAGATTATTATGACAACTAGAGAGCCGACAAAAAAGTGCAGGTCTGCAGTAGCTGCAAAGCGGTGGCTGCACCCAGCCATGGATGATTTTTCAGATCACCTGAAAGGGCACTTTGCTCAGCTAATAGCAACTTGCTGATGACGTTTGGCTATCTTCAGCCGGGACCTTTTTGGCCCTGGCCCCAAATGGGGAACATTCTGTCCAATGAGACCCAGGCCCTGCAAGACTTGAAACAATTCTGCAGGGCCTATGAGATGGAGTTGCTCCACCAGGAACATGGTCGAGGATGAGTGGCCGCGTTCAATCTGGACCAATTCCGGATCTGCCCTCTTGTACCATCTAATGTAGAATTGTTAACATTAGGATTAGGCTTTTTTGTATTTTTCATATGTGCATGTGTGTGTGTGTACCTGAAAGTCATGGTGACCTCTGGTGACTGACCCCTACTGGGGGCCTGGGGGATATTCAGAGAGGTGGCTGAATAAAGCTTGCCCCCGCCTCCCGACTGCTGGTATTCCAAGGAGGTCTCCCATCAAAATTAGGATTGTTAATTTCAATCTGAACTGCAATTAATTAAATTACATGTTAATTTTAAATGTTGTGACCCGCCCTGAGCCCCACTGCATGGGGAGGGTGGGCTAGAAGTCAAATAAGTAAATAAATAAAGCTATTTCCACATTTAATTTTATATTAAATAATATATCTACCATGTTCTATCACAACCTTTCTAAAGAGTTGAGGATGGCATATATGCCTCCACTTTCCCGTTACAACACACACACCCTAAGGTAGCTTAGGCTAAAATTGAGTCACTGCTTGAAGTCACCCAATGAGCTCCTTGACAGAACCTAGATCTCCCCAGTCCTAAACAGAGGTCAGTGTGCACCCCACATGTATCACCCTTAGAATGCAGTACTGATAAAACTTTCTGGAATGCCCAATTTGTATTTGGAACTGCTTTTGGTTGAGGGCAGCAAGGGTTGGTTGTATTGGCTGGCACCCTCCCCCCCCCACACTCATACACACACATTTAAGTTCCCCACACACACACACTAAATGGCCGGGCAGTCCAAAATTGGAACATAACATTGTAAATCACCATCTGGGATCTTTTATTCTGGTTTTATTCTTATTAACTGTATAAAAGGTAAAGGTGAAGGTTCCCTTGCTCGAAAGCCAGTCGAATCCGACTCTAGGTTTGCGGTGCTCATCTCCGTTTCCAAGCCGAAGAGCCAGCACTGTCCGAAGACGTTTCCATGGTCATGTGGCCGGCATGACTAAACACCAAGGCGCACAGAACGCTGTCACCTTCCCACCGAAGTGGTACCTATTTATCTCCTTGCAATTTCTTGCTTTCAAACTGCTAGGTTGGCAGGAGATTAACTGTATACAGATATTTTTAAATCAATATTTTGTTCTTATGGCCATTTGCCTTCTGTACATCGCCCAGAACTATAAATACATGTGATTAGTAAGTCAAAATAAATAACTAAATAACTAAATAATACCTTGAAAGATTTCAAAAGGGGTTTTTCAGGGGAGAGGGGAAGTACTATGTATCACATGCGTGTATATTCTACAGCACTGCTGTCTCAGTCGTGAGCCTTGCTTTGATAGCAGCTTGAAAAATTCTCTCCACCGTAATCCGTGTGCGTTTGAAAAGAATCCTAGACTAGTCAAGATCTGTCACAGCTTCGCCAAACCAGCCGCTGCTTTAGTAACTCGATGCACTAAAACATGGGGAGGTAGATGCTGCGGGGGGGGGGGAGCAGTGTTCCCTCTAAGCTGAGTTGGTGTGAGCTAGCTCACAGTTTTTTAGCCTCTGGCTCACACTTTTTTTGTCTCAGCTCAGGAAGGAGGGCTCCAGAGCAAACTGATTTATGCAGCAGGCAAATCGCTCGCTCACAACTTTAATGCCCGTAGCTCACAAGGTAGAATTTTTGCTCACAAGACTCCACATCTTAGAGGGAGCATTGGCAAGGCAGGTAAAGACTGCATTTTTAAAACCATCTTTCCAGTGGAACAAAGTTTAATTTGACATCACTTGCATCTTATTACCATCTTTTGGCAACTTCTGCCCTTCGCTCCTTCATATCACAATTTGAGTTTTCCGCCACTGGTGTGGCTGGCAGTTAAGCTGCACCCCCACTCCTTGGTTTCCTTTGTTCTTCGGTAAACCTGGCTAGGAATGCAGACCAACCCACCAACTAATCTCCTGAAACCAGCCTTGATCTTTACTTATCTTGTTCTTAGGAGCAACCATAGTAGGATCAAACTGAAGGATGTGTTTAGGAAAGAAACAAAGTTCAGGTTTGTTTTGCATTAGAGATACAAATTTAGCCAAGACAGAAAATGGCGACCATTTCTGCTCGCAAGCATGCTCAGAATTTAAGACCCATGCAGTTTTATCAAGGGTGAGAACAAAAGACAGTAGTAAACTGGACTTCCTAGAATGATTGTGAAATACAATACAAAGCCTGTTCCTAGGTAGTTTACAAAGTTCCTTTAATGGTATTGTTAACAGGATTCTGCTTGTGAAAAATGCAAACTTACCTTTAATTAAATAAAATAATAAAAATCTCCTATCCCTGGCACAAATCCGACATCTCAACTGCGACTAAAATCGTGGGCACTCACCTAGGAACAGATCTCGTTGATTACTTCTGAAATTATATTTAGAATGGGGAAAAAACCCAGATTTATACAGTTAATACAAACGAGAAGCTCGAACATTAGCACTGCATTTAAAAACCAAAAAGGAACAGCCCTTTTTAGGAGTATGTGGGGTGGCCCTGAAAAGGGCCTTTGGGTTCTTTTTGACTTCGCAGTTCGTATAGGAGAGCCTTAACCTCCAAAACCGTACAGAGTACGGCCCTGGCGTTTCAGAGCATAAACCACGTCCATAGCAGTCACGGTCTTCCTCTTAGCGTGCTCGGTGTAAGTTACGGCATCTCGGATCACGTTTTCCAAAAAAACCTTCAACACACCTCGAGTTTCTTCGTAGATCAATCCAGAAATACGCTTCACTCCCCCGCGACGAGCCAGGCGACGGATTGCAGGTTTAGTAATTCCTTGAATGTTATCACGAAGCACCTTCCGATGCCGTTTAGCGCCTCCCTTACCCAGCCCCTTACCACCTTTCCCGCGACCAGACATCTTGCAGGCAAACCGAAAAAATCACTCAGCCGAACCGACAGCTAGCCAAAGTTTTTATAGGTCAGAGTCCGACCACACTGAAAACTGAAACTATTGCTCTTCAGTCCCCGCCTCCAAAGCTTTCGAATTACCTTTAATAAGAAAGTCTACGTTTTTTCGCCAATCAGCCAAAAGGACTGTTGAAAACTGTCCAATCAGACGTCAGGACAATTCAACAGCATTGGAGACAAATTCCATGACCGTAGCCCCTTCAATTTACTAAAAAAAAACCCAAACAAACGAAATCATATGATACATCGAAGACCTGGCCGATCTGTCTATTTTTAAGGTGCCAGAAGACTTTGTCAATTTAGCTGCGCTTGAATTCTCTTCTACGCGTGTGTGACTCGTGCTTACACACATGCATGCTGCTTGCGTTACCTCGTTGGTTAACAAACTGGAGCCACTACAGATTCCATTTTGCAGGAAAATGAGACTCTCTGAGTTTTGACTTTGCAACTCTGACAGCCACGCGCTTTTTCTTCTTCTTTCCCATTTGTCTAAATCTTGGTGTTATGGATACTGAAAGGGGGGGGGGGTTTCCAGCGAAGCAGAGGAAGCAACTG